AAGGGGGGTCCCGGGAGGGGTAATCGAACACCGGAGAGGTCACCGGTTACCGGGAGGGTCCCAAAACGCGGGGAGAGCGAGCTCAGGTGGCCTGGGGGGTTCCTGGAGGGTCGGGAAGTGGCACGGAATGGAACCGGGGGATCACGGGCGTCCCCGGTATCGGGGGATAATCCCGGGAAGGTCCCGGTGGGGAGCGGAGGGGTGCCGGGGAGGGTGCTCGGGGCTCGGGGGCAGCGCTGGGATCGGGTGGGGGTTCCGGGGGTGTTCCCGTTGGTGAGTCTGGGGTCCCGGGGGGAATCTCGGGCTCGGGGGGTCCCGGGCGGGTCCCGCCGGTGCCTCACCCCCGTTCAGCGCCATGGTCGCTCGGGAAACGCTGTCGCGCAGGAAGTGACGTCACCCAAAAGATATMAGTCCGGGTGGAAACGGTGACCAGAAAATGGAAAATAAATTCCGGGGGCGGCCGGGACCCCCTTGAGCTAAATTTGCATAACCCCACCCATCATTCTTACAGGCCCCGCCCATCCAGCACTACAACGTGATTGGCCGCCTGCTGCATCGTAAATTTGCATGGCTCCGCCCACTAAGTTTGCATATTCCGCGCGGGATTTTGAACACGCCGCCGGCGCTGCGCTCCCATTGGCCAGAATTGGCCCCGCCCACACCCATGCTCCGCCCACCGCCCCAGGGAACACCCGGGCGCAAAAATTCGGTGAAAATTTTTATTTTGCTGGAAAAGGTGAGGGTGAGGCTGGGGGGCTCCCCGCCCTGGGTGAGGGGCGAGGGGGACTCTGGGGAAGCTCCGTACAAAAAGTGGGGGCTCAGGCAGGTGGGGACACGGCTCCGTCCGAGGCCGCCGCACCTGGAAGAGAGCACAGAGGTGAGGGGGGGTGGGCGACCCGCGGGACACGAGGACACCCGGGGACACTCGGGGACACCCGGCCACGGGGACACGCGGGCGCTGGGACGCGGCGGCTCCGGCRGCGACGGGGAGGGGACGCGGCGGCGGCGACGACGGCGACCCGGGGCACGTCTGACCTGACGCAGCGGCGGCGTCCGGGGCCTGCGGGGCCACGACAACGGCGGCGAGTCCCAAGGGGTCCGTGGCGATCCTGGGTGGGGGGAAAGGCTGTTACCGAGCAGTGGCAGCGCAGCGAGGCCCGGGCCGGGCTCCTGGCGCTCCCGACGCTCACCTCAGAAGGCGGAATARCGCGCCCGCTCCGCGTAGGGATCCCGCTCGAAGCGCTGCATGTCGTAGAGCGACGCCCGGGCCACCGAGGAGACGGGCGACAGCTGCCCACGGTCATACGTGTACGCCTCTCCGACGGTGCTGGCCGCGGCGGCCGTGCGGCGCAGGGGGCTCCTGTCCCGGGTGTAATACGTGGAGGACGCGGCGGCGGCCGCGGCGGTGGCAGCGGCGGCGGCAACGGCGGCCGCCGCGCCCGGGGTGGGCAGCAGAGCTCGGTCGTACGCGTCTAAGGTGGTGGGGATGCGGCCGGCCATGGCCGTGGTGGCGGCCAGGGCCGAGGACTGGACTTGGGAGTACTGGGCGTACTGGGAGTACTGGGCCATGGTCTGCTCCGCGTAGGCGTCGTACGCCGAGGCCGTGGCGTAGGAGCGGACGCGGTAGCGCTTGTAGTAGTCGGCCATCCCGCCGTAGGCCTCATCGTAATACACGGTCTCCCCATAGCCCGCGGTGTAGGGAGTGCGCACGGCTCCGTACTGCTCGTTATAGGCCTCGGCAAAGTCCGCCACTTGCCCCGGGCGATCGACCGGGCACTCCTTAGACCAGTGCCCCTCCTTCCCGCAGCGGTAGCAGCCGCTCTTGTCTCCCATCCCGGGCGCCGTCCGCAGCCGGCTGGTGGACAGCTGCACGCGCATCCGCTTGCCTTGGGGAGAGACGCGAGAGGCAGGGTCAGTGCGGCCGTGCCAKGGCACCGGCGGAATGGGACGGGACCGGCCACCGCCCCCCCAGCCCTCCGCAGCCACCGGCGCGGGAGGAGCCTCCGCGGGACCGAGCGAGAGCCGCCGGATGGACACTGGAGGGCAGCCG